GTGGACTTTGTGCCCTTCGAGTCGTCTGTCAGGCAGTAGCTCTGTGACCTTCATGGAGCTCTCACTCACACTTGTGCTGCTTCTAGATCACATGACTCTCGACGACATGAGCAGTTGTTCATAAACGAGCCACTCGAGCTAAAACAACACACCAGGAACCCTGCAACAGTTTCCCTTTCAGAATAAAGCCTGTTGGATCAGGTGAGTTGTTCTGGTCGACTTACCTGAGAGGTGGAGGTTACAGAACAGAGGCGAGGCTTGTCTGAGGCTGTCTGACTGTGGGCCGGCCCTCTGATCGCTGGCTATTTATGGGTGCAGGCTGTCAGAGGGAGGAGCTTAGTGGGGGTCAGGGACCATCTGACTCTGGCAGGACAAGAACAAACAGAAAACTCAACCTGCCTGCAGCAGGCCCCTTCTTCTCTGGGGGGTTCATAATCTGTACTACTGTTCTCCCACGGACGCTGATGCTGCTGGAACAGCGGCGTGCACCTCCACACCTGTGACATATTTATGTAGACCATTTCTACACAGCCGAGGCAAACCAAAGTGCTGTACAGTAACAGAGCATCAACCCACGGGAGGAAGTAATAGAAAGGAGTACCCTAACTACTATAAAACAATACAACTAAAAACATGGTCAAACGCCAGCTAGGCTGAAGTAACAGCCGAGGAACAGAAATGAGCCTGCAGGCGTGATCTATATCAGAGCGAGAGGGGGCCACTCTCACGGCTAGAGGCACACGGCCCCTGAGGTCCGTGGACATTACTGAGCTGTTTCAGCCACCATAGCCCCACAACATCTCATCCACTCCTGGTGCCTTGCTACCGAGGAGCTTGTTGGCCACCGCACCTCAGTTGGAGAGCCCAAGCCAAAACCCCACTCAGCTGCCTCAGTATTGGTCCAAACATGTACCAATGGGATTGAAGAGGTCTAAGTCCGAGTTGAGTCAGCACCCCCACTGTCAACAGTGTTGGTAGTAGACCTCATTCCTCTCCAGATCACTGGTGGACCAGAATCTCCTGGAAGCTGTAATGAAGTTCTGCTTCATGGTCTCATTGATTTCCTCCCAACCTAACTCTGTTGTTGCTTCTGGAACCATCAGAGCCCCATCCCACCTGTCTGCTGGTTCCTGTCTCTGTCTCTGCAGCCCCACGGACCTGACAGGACTCATGCAGTCCTTTCTTCTGCTGCACACACACACACACACACACACACACGCACATCTACACAAACACACGCACGGACACACACACACACACACACACACGCACACGCACACACACACACACACATTAATTTAATTTTAGAAGGGTTTTATTTCTGGTTCATGAACTTTACTGATGACCCCTAACTCTCAGAGAAGGTCGAAGTTCAGTAAGTGGGGAAATATGAGACTGGATTAGAATTCACTGCAAAGGGCAATACCCCCCCCCCCCCCCACACACACACACACACACACACACACTCACACACACACACACACACACACACACACACTACCCTTGCCATTCACCTTTAAGTGTTCTTCTCTTGGACTGCAGTCTAAGAATAGGAACAGCACCAGAACTCACTCAGGCAGCATTGTGGGTCTGATACAATCAGAACCACGCAACACAACCAAGCAACACAACCACGCAACACAACCAAGCAACACAACCAAGCAACACAACCAAGCAACACAACCACTCAACACAACCAAGCAACACAACCACGCAACACAACCAAGCAACACAACCAAGCAACACAACCATGCAACACAACCAAGCAACACAACCACGCAACACAACCAAGCAACACAACCACGCAACACAACCAAGCAACACAATCAAGCAACACAACCACTCAACACAACCAAGCAACACAACCACGCAACACAACCAAGCAACACAACCAAGCAACACAACCACGCAACACAACCAAGCAACACAACCATGCAATACAACCACGCAACACAACCAAGCAACACAACCACGCAACACAACCAAGCAACACAACCAAGCAACACAACCAAGCAACACAACCAAGCAACACAATCAAGCAACACAACCACGCAACACAACCAAGCAACACAACCACGCAACACAAACAAGCAACACAACCACGCAACACAACCACGCAACACAACCAAGCAACACAACCACACAACACAACCACGCAACACAACCAAGCAACACAACCACGCAACACAACCACGCAACACAACCACGCAACACAACCACGCAACACAACCTAGCAACACAACCACGCAACACAATCACGCAACACAACCACGCAACACAACCACGCAACACAACCACGCAACACAACCACGCAACACAACCAAGCAACACAACCACGCAACACAACCACGCAACACAACCACGCAACACAACCAAGCAACACAACCACTCAACACAACCACACAATACAACCACACAATACAACCACGCAACACAACCACGCAACACAACCACGCAACACAACCACGCAACACAGCCACGCAACACAACCAAGCAACACAACCAAACAACACAACCATGCAACACAACCATGCAACACAACCACGCAACACAACCACACAACACAACCACGCAACACAACCACACAAAACAACCAAGCAACACAACCAAACAACACAACCACGCAATACAACCACGCAACACAGCCACGCAACACAACCACGCAACACAACCACGCAACACAACCAAGCAACACAACCAAGCAACACAACCAAGCAACACAACCACGCAACACAACCACGCAACACAACCACGCAACACAACCACGCAACACATCCACGCAACACAACCACGCAACACAACCACGCAATACAACCACGCAACACAACCACGCAATACAACCACGCAACACAGCCACGCAACACAACCACGCAACACAACCACGCAACACAACCAAGCAACACAACCAAGCAACACAACCACGCAACACAACCACGCAACACAACCACGCAACACAACCACGCAACACATCCACGCAACACAACCACGCAACACAACCACGCAACACAACCACGCAACACAACCAAGCAACACAACCACGCAACACAACCACGCAACACAACCACGCAACACAACCACACAACACAACCACGCAACACAACCACGCAACACAGCCACGCAACACAACCACGCAACACAACCACGCAACACAACCAAGCAACACAACCAAGCAACACAACCAAGCAACACAACCACGCAACACAACCACGCAACACAACCACGCAACACAACCACGCAACACATCCACGCAACACAACCACGCAACACAACCACGCAACACAACCACGCAATACAACCACGCAACACAACCACGCAATACAACCACGCAACACAGCCACGCAACACAACCACGCAACACAACCACGCAACACAACCAAGCAACACAACCAAGCAACACAACCACGCAACACAACCACGCAACACAACCACGCAACACAACCACGCAACACATCCACGCAACACAACCACGCAACACAACCACGCAACACAACCACGCAACACAACCAAGCAACACAACCACGCAACACAACCACGCAACACAACCACGCAACACAACCACGCAACACAACCATGCAACACATCCACGCAACACAACCACGCAACACAACCACGCAACACAACCACACAACACAACCAAGCAACACAACCAAGCAACACAACCACGCAACACAACCACGCAACACAACCACGCAACACAACCACGCAACACATCCACGCAACACAACCACGCAACACAACCACGCAACACAACCACGCAACACAACCAAGCAACACAACCACGCAACACAACCACGCAACACAACCACGCAACACAACCACGCAACTCAACCACGCAACACAACCACGCAACACAACCACGCAACACAACCACGCAACACAACCACGCAACACAACCACACAACACAACCACGCAACACAACCACACAACTCAACCTCGCAACACAACCACACAACACAACCACGCAACACAACTGTGCACCCCAACCACACAACACAACCACGCAACACAACCACACAAAACAACCAAGCAACACAACCACACAACACAACCACGCAATACAACCACGCAACACAACCAAGCAACACAACCAAGCAACACAACCAAGCAACACAACCAAGCAACACAACCAAGCAACACAACCAAGCAACACAACCAAGCAACACAACCACTCAACACAACCAAGCAACACAACCACACAACACAACCAAGCAACACAACCAAGCAACACAACCATGCAACACAACCAAGCAACACAACCACGCAACACAACCAAGCAACACAACCACGCAACACAACCAAGCAACACAATCAAGCAACACAACCACTCAACACAACCAAGCAACACAACCACGCAACACAACCAAGCAACACAACCAAGCAACACAACCACGCAACACAACCAAGCAACACAACCATGCAATACAACCACGCAACACAATCAAGCAACACAACCACGCAACACAACCAAGCAACACAACCACGCAACACAACCAAGCAACACAACCAAGCAACACAACCAAGCAACACAATCAAGCAACACAACCACGCAACACAACCAAGCAACACAACCACGCAACACAAACAAGCAACACAACCACGCAACACAACCACGCAACACAACCAAGCAACACAACCACACAACACAACCACGCAACACAACCAAGCAACACAACCACGCAACACAACCACGCAACACAACCACGCAACACAACCACGCAACACAACCAAGCAACACAACCACGCAACACAATCACGCAACACAACCACGCAACACAACCACGCAACACAACCACGCAACACAACCACGCAACACAACCACGCAACACAACCAAGCAACACAACCACGCAACACAACCACGCAACACAACCAAGCAACACAACCACTCAACACAACCACACAATACAACCACGCAACACAACCACGCAACACAACCATGCAACACAACCACGCAACACAACCACACAACACAACCACGCAACACAACCAAGCAACACAACCAAACAACACAACCACGCAACACAACCATGCAACACTACCATGCAACACAACCACGCAACACAACCACACAACACAACCACGCAACACAACCACACAAAACAACCAAGCAACACAACCAAACAACACAACCACGCAATACAACCACGCAACACAGCCACGCAACACAACCACGCAACACAACCACGCAACACAACCAAGCAACACAACCAAGCAACACAACCACGCAACACAACCACGCAACACAACCACGCAACACAACCACGCAACACATCCACGCAACACAACCACGCAACACAACCACGCAACACAACCACGCAATACAACCACGCAACAC